GCATCTTCGAAAGCGGCCTTAGGAACGCTCCCCGCCATCCACAAACCCATATATATATCTCGTTGGGCCTCAGCATGGACCCATAGCTCGTATAAACGGCGGGGGACAGCGACTGTGGCAGAGTCTTGAGGGCGGACCTGGGCCAACAACTGCGCCTTCTCGGTCTCCCAGGCTCGAAGCATCCTGATCAAGTTCACCGATCCGCTCCTCGAGCCGTGCTGCTCTCAATGTGGTTGTCGCCCTCTCAGCTTCCCGCTCAGACCTGAGGACGCGGATAGTGTCTTCCAGTGCCGCCGCCCTTGCCAAAGCCGTCACTCGAGCTTCCTCGGCTCTCTCTAACTCGGCCACCTTTGTTTCTAGCTCAGCCACCTTCTCCGTCCACTCAGCACTTAGGTTGGCGACTTTAGTGGCATTCTGCTCAAGCTCGTCTCGCAAAGATAACAGTTTCGCCTGAAGGTCCTCACATTCCGCTGCAACCCCTTTGCCCACCTCGAGCTCCTCGTCTTTGGCATTGAGCAACTCCTCGAGCTCGCTGCATCTGCGGATAGATCGCATCAGATCCTCGTACCTTTTTTCCAACTCCTCCCTGACATATTGAGTACTAGTGCCCGCCGTAAGCTGCTCGCACATCTCACAGCACCTGTTGCGATACCGCTGATACTTCTCGGCCATTTTGAGAAAGACTGCGGCCCGCATCTCAGCCCTGCGAGAACCCTCGATCTCCAGCATGTAAGTCTAAAAAAAAAGAGGGGAGGAGTTAACAAAAGCAAAGGGCACAAAATAGAGAAAATAGCAAAATGAAACTTACCCTCAAGGCCATCCTGGCCACACCGCGTGACAAACCAGAATCACTGATCTCCTGAAGAGATTTGCTTTCGACGGCAGAGCACAGAAGGTCGAACTGGGGCACCAAATCCGCCGTGTCCTCCAACAGGTTGAAATCCGACGGGATTTCGAGTACACAAGAAGGGCCTTCCACCCTCACATCGACCCTGGTGAAACCTTCCTCGAACATCCTCATGTCCTCAGGATCAATGTCAGAATCAGATTCATACTCCTCCACCGCCACGCCTTTCAACCTGGCCGAGACGTCGATGGTCCGCTCGGAACAGTCGTGGCAGCCTCGAACTCTGTTCCCCTACAGCAGCAGCCTCTTCCACGGCCGCAACGGGCATTACCTCCACACCCAGGCTAGCACCACCGCCGGTTTCAGGCACCTTCAAAATGAGGTCGCCCCTCGAGGGCATTTCAGCCAAAGACGCCCCTTCCAGCACTATCCTCCGCCTCTTTGACGGGCCCTCTTCGCCACTGCCACGAGAAGGTTCACCCGTTGAAAGGGCTGTGGGGACCGGAGTCTCTGACCGAGGAGCAACCTCCGAACGGACGGGTACGAACGCGTACGCGGACGCGCTTCGCCGAGCAGCCAAACTTTGGCAGCCCTCATCCACAGACGCTCTCGGTACGGGCCAGGCAGAGGAAACCGGTTGACGAAAAGCTAAGGTAGGAGCCCTTGCCCTTCTCGATCCTCTCCGACCTGCCAACAAGAAATTCGATCAAAAAAAGATAAGATAAAGAAAAAGATGGGGCAAAGAATAAAGCAACTAAGGCCGACATCCTTTGTTCTTGTACAACAGAACCACCGTGCTCCACCTCCACTCATCCGACATCCTCTTCGTCCTGAAAATAACATTAAACAACCCAGTCAGCCACTCCAAGCCTGCTCTACCCACACACCTCAAAAATTCAATCGGAATTTCGTCTGGCCCAGTAGCTCTGCCCCTACTCATATTACGCATAGCCTCCACGACCTCCTCAACCTTAATGCGCCTACAATACATAAAGTCACGGTGACACTCGGAAAGCCCCAATTCACCTAGCACAATATCCCTATCCCTTTCGTCATTCAGAAGTTTATAAAGTAGGTCTGCCATCTCCGTTTAATCGGGTCCTCCCCCATCAAAACTCTACCATCCTCGTCTTTGATGCACCTCACTTGGTCCAAATCCCGAGCCTTCCTCTCTCTCTCTCTCTCTCTCTCTCTCTCTCTCTCCTTGGCCATATATTAACGATTTGAAAATTTTAACTTTAGTTTAGGTCTTCCCACTTTTATAATAATATAGATAGATACTTATTATCCTTCAAAAGTTTTAATTAAATAAATAATTATTCTCTAGATACTATTTTTGTATATGTTCAATAGGAGTCTATGATATTTTTCTAAAAGTTCTATTGGTATGGAGGTACAAAACTGATTTGCTAGGTCTCTCCCTAGTTTTGGAACGTGACACTTTTTGAATAGATAGAGGATGAGTTTGACCTATATATATATAGTACATACAATTGCATTCTAAAAAACTTTATATTATCAAGTCTCTCAAAAAATATTTATAAGTAACCTTTTATTAAAACAATTTATATGCCACAAGCCTACAACATATAAAGATCAAGTAATAATGTAAAAATTATTTATACTACCGATATATGTAACTTACGATGAAACTTCGGTAACGTGAATATAATTTGATACTCTATCCATTTCAAATTGAGTATTTACCGTAGAGTTCAAATACTTTAGTGCCCTTAGGCTTGAACCAGCCCTGTCTAGGACTTCCAATATAATGCTAAATCTCTAGTAGACACACGAACTCTTTTGAGCAGAATTCATTTGTAGCCACTCGGTCAGAACTTATATCAACCGGTAGCCACAAAATGACCATATACAAGCTATAGCCTAAAAACAATAATAAAGGCTATTTTTTTTTTCTGCTCCTCCGGTCCCTCGCCGCAAATTACTGGAAATCCAAAGTAAAGTCCATTTTCTGTTATGGTGTCAAGAAATCTTTATTTCTCACTTGAGAACTTTCTGAATTGGCGTTTCACTTCAGAAAGTTTGAACATCCATATTGTCAATCTTCTTCTTGAACTCTGTTGGCAAACGTGGAGATTCAATTGGCAGTGTTGGTTTAATTTTTTTTTCTCTTTTTCTCTCTATCCTGATATTTACTCTGTTTTTCATCCAACATAGATTCAATCTTTTTCTCTCTCTCTTTTTTCTCTATCTTCCAATTTACTCTGTTTTTTCATCCAAAAATGTTTCAACTGCATTCCCAATTTTCTTACTCGCCATCCTTCTCCTCACCTTCTTCTTTTGGGTCAATTATATGCAGCTTTTTTACCTTGCATTTTCGCAAGAATCTATTTTCACATTGAACATTGTAACTTCCTGATCACATGGCGCCAGTTATACCAATGCGCCATGGTGTAAAGTAGCATTTGATCCACAAGAAAAAGGAAAATACAGAAGTACAGTATCTAGTTGGATAACTCATGAATACACACCGCTTTGTTAACATGAATATTAACAAAAAAAGGGACTAAGACTGAGAAATTTCAGTAGCCAGGATTGTGCAACTCGATCTTCAACTAATAGTAATGCAGATTCAGTTGCCACAGATAGAGGTAAAAAAATATATATACACTTTTATACATCATACAACAACTATACACGTTGGATAGATAAAAGTGATCGGGATACAAAAAATATACAAAATAGACTGTCATTATACAAAACGTATACAAAATAGACTGTCACTGTACAATTTATATACAATATACTATCACTATATAAAATATATACAATAAATTGTCACTACATAAAATATATACAAAACACACTGTCACTATACGATGAATATACACAAATGATACATTAGGGATACACTAAAATATAGAGGATACACTTTATATACAAAACTTATACAATGTAATAGTATATATACAATTTTTATACATTCTATAACTTTTTATATATAATTTTTATAATATACACTGAAAAATACATACACTTATATACAAAATTCATACAATGTGTGTATAAAATATTTAATACATTGTATAACTATAAAATTTTGTATAAAGTTACATATAAGTATAATCCAACTACCCCATTAAAACATGGAAGTTTGAGGGGCTATAAGAGGTAGTTTTCTCAACTCTTTTTGTAGTGACTATTGACTTATAAGCTTAAACCCGAATTTTTTTTGGTCATGAGTATTTTTAATCATGGTCAAAAAAATAGGGAGAAATTTAAAAATAGCCAGATTTACAACTGGTCGTTCAAAAATAGCCCAGTTTCAAAAGTAATCGAAATTTAGCCACTTTTCATGTAAAGATAAATCTGAGCGAAAACACTGTTCAAACCCGGAAAATACGCCAGTATATTATGCTGGAGTTCCAGCATAAGTATACTTGAACTCCAGCATATTATACTGGAGTTCCAGGATAAGTATGCTGGAACTCCAGCATAATATGATGGAGTTCTAGCATAAGTACACTAGAACTCCAGCATAATATACTGGAGTTCCAGCAAGTATACCGGTCCAGCATAATATACTGGAGTTTGGAGCACCCGGTCCAGCATAATATACTGGAGTTTGGAGCACCGGTGCTCCAGTCTCCAGTATATTATACTGGAGCCAGTAAAGTATACCGGTCCAGCATAATATGCTGGAGTTCATACACAGGTGCACCGAACTCCAGTATATTATGCTGGACCGGTCTCTGTTGCAGCAAAATAGTGGCTATTTTTCATTGACTTGGTAAACGCTGGCTATTTTTGAATGACCAGTCCGAAAACTGGCTATACCGTGCTATTTTGACAAATAATTTACTTTGGCCATTTAGTAATTGTGTGAATTTACTTAATATAAAACATGATAAGTGAAATTTATTACCCTAAATTTAATAATGACTGCAAACATATTTGTTTTACATTTGGCTTCTAATAATATTATGCCTGATGCTTTTTCTTTACTTCTGCTTTACAAGCAAAGAACAAGGGTCATGTTGTAGAATGAAGCATCATTAACGTTTTGATTTAATTTATTTTCTTTTATTTACTTTTTGCTTGAGTATGAAGAATCAATTTCATAAATCACAATTACAAGTTAGGATTGATATAACTTTAAAGAATAATACCAAAGTTACCGAACCACACAAACTAAAGTCGAACCACACCGAATTTATTTCCATACAGTATTGGTATATCATTTTTAAAATCAAAAGCCAAAAATTACGAATCAAAATATTTCTACGTCATGCCAACCCAACCAGAACACCCCTAATAGCTACATGACTAGTTAAATCAATAATCTAAAAAAGACAACTTAATGAACTGAAAACTTACATATAAGTTACATGTCCAAGAGTATCCAGGAGATTTGAATACGAAGGAGATGCCTAAAAATATAACCTGCTCATTCTGTAATGTTAAAACAGAGCTTAGCCTCATCCCAGGGGCCATTAATCTCAAACTTGTACTCTTGAATCCGTATCAACCAGTAGGGACAAACCAAATTAACGAAGACAAAAATGCCCAGAAGCAAGATGAAAAGCAGCTTATGCAACTGGTAAGTGAATATTAGTGTTAGAACCAGTAACTGAAGGGAAAAGCAAATATGCAGCTTAAAAGAGCGCTTCTTGACACAATATGTGACTAAAGGAGCAAAAAGGAAAACTTGCAAAGAGAATAGCACAATAGCAAAGACATGAAGCCTCGATGGAAGGCGAGATGAAATCAAAAGTGAAGCCACGATGGAAGCGTTCAGTGATATATTGCTTGTCAGGGTTGGATTTTCTAAAGCTCCGGGAGCCTTTACGGTGGACCCTGAGTAATTGTGCAGGAAGAGATGGAGAATGAGAAGGGAAGCTGTTAGCGCCCATATAGAATTCGAGCTTATGGACCTAGTGAGTGTATGGTAGATAGGAGACAGCATATATAAGGCAGTTATGAAGAAGGTATTCTTTAGGAGATAATTGAGGAGGAGATTAAAGGGTATCATGTCCGCAGTTAAGAGCAGAATAAAGAAACCCGAACCAAGAAGGCTGACATTCAAGAATAAAAGATATTTTTCATTCAAGGTATTTCTGAGGGTGTAGGTCCAAACTAAAACCACAAGGGCAACAATGCAAAGATATTGTGAGATTGAAACTGCATCGAGCACCACCTTCAATAAGTCTCTTTTGACAACATTAGCATTCATGATCATTTCCTCCAGGAAGGATTCATCTGTGTGATTGTCATCAAAGCCAGGTTGCATCCCACCATAAACAACTTTTCTCCATTTTGAATGGGTTGGAGAAGAGCTCCCACTGATGTTAGCCTCCATCTGTATCATACAACTCTACTCCACAGTCTGCAAACAGTTATTAGAGGACGGTAAGCAGTTTTTTTTATTTTATGAAGGTGTTTCATCAACAGGCATCAAGAAGATGCATTACAAGAAGCATAATTACAAGCAAAAAGATTTCTTCTAAAAAGAAAAAGCAAAAAGACTAAAGAGAAATGTTAGCCCTGTCAGTCTAGCACAAGGCAACTAACAAAGTCCAAAAATAAATGACAGTCAGCACTTAGGGATCCTAAATCATAATCACTCTCTTATAGTTTACACGACAAGTTAGAGATGAAAAGGGGAAAACACAACAAATCATGCATCTAGCTTAGGGTCTGGAGCCACGTAATATTTTAATCAACTTTCGCCAGTCTCCATTTACATTAGGTATCAAAAACACACTAATTCAAGTAACTCCACACTGCTGTCTATTGAGTAAATTTTCAATCTGGGTAAACACATTGCAGACACTAAAATTCACATTGCATTTACGAAATAAAAAGAAGATACCGAGCTACAAAATCTCTTTATTTGCAATATCAAGCTATTTCAAATCTGATAGATTAATACATTTTACACCATCCAATTTCGTTTTGCATCACTAACTCCTCTTAATTGGTAAAATTACTCTTGTATCTTCTTATGTTGCGCGGACTCTCCAAAACAATTGCCGCACCCGTGTCGGATCCTCCAAAAATAAACTATTTTTGGAGGATCCGACACGCACCCATCAATATTTTCGGAGGGTCCGAGCAACATAAGACTATCTTCAGCTTTTGGACCAGAGTAAAGCCTTTAAGTTTCTCTCAAAGTGTATGATATAACCTCCTTGTACTCAAATGATATTTTTTAATTAAATTCATAAGTATCAAATGGAGGGAAAAAAAGAGAGTATCAAATGGACTTAAAAGTTATCTAAATCGCCCTTTAACCTCAAAAGAATCCCATCCTAGCCCCAGAGCTTAATGTGCCCCTCTAGCCAACCCCAAGATAATGCTGGATTATCTATCACTATATTTTAGAAATATCCAGCAGTGTTGTCACTGACAACAACAACAACAACAACCCAGTAAAATCCCATTAGTGGGGTCTGGGGAGGGTAGTGTGTACGCAGACCTTACCCCTACCCCGAAGGAGTAGAGAGGCTGTTTCCGGAAGACCCTCGGCTCAAGTGTTGTCACTGACAACCTGAAGAAGTAAATTGTACCCATATCTTATCCTATTCTGATTGCACCATCAATCATTACTATTCGCAAGGAAATTCGCAAGGAAACCACAAGCAGAAAAGAACCGTATAAGCTCAGATAACTACTACAAAATGCTGAACTCAGGAGATATAGCAGTTTAATTTTTTCAATGTCTATCTTGAATGAGTATTGGAATGATATGGGCCTCAATGGAGTGGGATTGATAAAGATAATTCATATAGTAGACTCAACATATTTAAACATTGAACATAGTCGATTGAAGATCTATCTTGAATGACTGATAGCATTACTAACCCAAAAAAGGTAGAAAATTAACATAAATAGAAAATAGATAAACCATAGTAATCATCAAAGAAAGTTGATTGCAAAGGAGTTTCCACTGTGAAATCTGCAAACGAGGTTTTAAACGTAAGTACACAGCAACAAGGGGATTAGCTATGGAAGCATATTTGGAGGTTGAAGGTTCCTTTTAAAGTAACTGTGTTTTGTTGGCTAGTGGTCAGACAGGCTGTTCCAATACATGAGAGCTTAATGAAGAGAGGAATGCCTCTGTGCTCCAAATGTTTTGTGTGGAAAGGCCATTGAAACAAACAGTCACCTATTTCTCCATTGCCAGGTGACCAATAGATTGTGGCAGCTATTCATGAGTATGAAAAGCTTAAGCTGGGTAATGCCAAGAGAGACTATGGACTTGCTTTCTAGTTGGGATTCTCATTCTAGCATGCATTTGGTGGACTATTTGTCGTGCCCCGTTTTCTCGCGAAAACGGGTTTCGACATGTGACAACTCTTTTAAATGAGATTAAAAGAGAGGAGTCTCCACCTAACGATTTTTAAGGTGCGTTAGGGCACCTAATTGCAAATAACTCCGGTTTGACTAGTTTGCGCTACCAAAGATCGGGGAAGAGTTCAAGTTACCTCCAAAAGAAGGTGTTAGGCACTCTCCGAGTTCCACAAATGTGGTTTTCGGTCGAATTATAAACTAAGTGGAATTAAGTAATTAAAGCCTAAAGAAAAAAATTAATCATTACTTCTAAGTATTGCTAGATGATTAATCATATCAGCTGATTATTAATTAAACAATGTGAAATGAATGTTAAAATGAAAGAAGAAGAACGAAACAAAATGATTTGGATAAAACTCATTAATAAAAGTGAGTTTGAAAACAAGCCTTGGAAGAATGAAATAGCAAATGCAATTTCGAAAAAAAGTGATAAAGAAACTTTGCAAACCTATCCTTTCACTATGAAATGCATAAACAAGACATAAGCTACAAAATTAAGGTAACATCCCATCTACCCAAATAAAATGCAATAAATAAGATAAGTAAAATAAATGAGATCAATTGATTAGAGGGTCCCAAGTTTTTAAGCTTAATAGATCAACTCCTGTGTAAAGTCTTCTAAGACTTTTATAGCCAAAATGTATTAGCTATTCGAGCAATTTGTGTATCATCTCCACTACCCTCATTACTATCTTTAAGTTGCTACCTAAAGCGCACCAGTAATTTCTAAATCGTGCCTTAGTAAGCCTACCTGTCTCATCCCTATAATCCAGGAGGCGTTGGGCACTATCTAAAGGGAAGTTGTAGAGTCAAATAAAGCTAGGGTTACTACTTTTGATTTAGCTAAGCATCACATAAGGCAAATAGGTAAAGACTCGACCATATATCATCTAAGGCAAGAAATGGCTGATGTTGGCCTCCAAATTAAAGAATTATATTGATTAAATGGAAAAGCAGTACCATACACTTATAAAACAAATTGGACACTCGTTAATTTAATCTTCCAAGTCAGAAGTAAACTTAGAAGAACAAAAACAGTGAGACATGATAAGCTAAAAAAATAGAGTTGAAGCAACTTTAATTAAATAGAGACCAAAATAAAACTTCTGGAAAATGACCGATCTTAAAGAGAATCTGACATATTCATTTTGAAAACATGTAAAGGATGGAGTTTAACTATTAACGAAAGAACAATTTCTTAAAGATAATGTCAAACCAACATAAATAGGCAGACTCTTAAAAATTTGAAAATAAAGGAGGAGAAATTACTTCCTCATTTTCACGATGAATACTGGCACAGAAGGTTTTGAAAGACTAACTGTTTTTTCCAAAATGAAAACTGACACGGAAGGACTTGAAAAAAGACTAACTGATTTTCCAAAGTCAATAGGAGACTCGAAGAATTTTTGTTTTTTTAGAATGCCCGATGTATCTTAAAAGTCTAACACACTGCAAAATTATTATCATGCACACCAGCAGTCCAAATCTGATTGGGCTAATTATTTCCTATGTGCATGGATACTACTGCTTAGGAGGTTTAACAAAATAAATAAGCATGTTGTAAGAATTCAAAGCATATAAGTGAGAATATAGCAACTAGCACGCAAGAACTATCCCCAATAACCCCCCCCCCCCCCTCTTCACTATTCCATCGGTCTGTACAGAGTTATTACAAAGTCAGCATTGCAACATGGACAAACGAATGAACTTCGGTCTTTAAAATAAAACTCCAAAGCAGCAACTTGTACACCCTCCCTCTTCCCAGGCTACTTCGAGTTGGTTCAAGAGTTAAACTCTGGCCAAAATCCCTTCAGTTTAGATCCCCGTGATCCTAAGTCATACAAAGACACCATATACCAAAAGAAAATACGCAACTTAGACAGATTCACCATAAAAATCAGATTTTTTAAATAACTATTCCTTAAGAGCAGGATTTCGAAGATTCAGATTGATCCCTTAATTATTCAAAACCAGACAGAGAACAGATATAGCCCGAATTCAAACATTATACAGTGTAAATTATCCTATAGACATGGCATTCTAAATGTTGAATTCATTCTCAATCAAATAAACCAGACAAAGCACAGTCAGTTACTACTTTACATAGAAACACGCTTGTTAGCCTTAAAGATATGATATCTAGGCTTAGTTAACAATCGAGCATGTTCAGGTAGTAAAGATCTATAGTAGACATGAAGATGCTAAAAAAGCTTTTGACAGAACTCATGAGTTATCTCATTAGACATGGAATTTAACACTTCAGCTTCAATGGTTCAAACCTAAACATGGTAAACATATTCTTGTAACAAGATCAAGTCACAGAGACCTCACATATAACCTTTAGGCGTAGCTTTTGCATTTAAAGAAGTATCAAATTAATATTCTTGGTACTATAGGCATGAGACGACAGAAGCTCAAATGTAGGCTAAAAGTCTAGACAAGACATGCGCATGTACAAGGTTATTACTTATTTGGCTACTCTTAAGTCATAGTTTCTAGCGGACAGAATAATTTGAACAAACTCGCACGAATCAAATAGATGATAATCCTATAGTCATGTTCTCTAGCGCACAACAGTCGCAACCCACAAATAGAGTTAAGCACATACTGAGTTTTAAGAGACATAGCTGGCTTTTAAACTTGGCATGCTTTCAATAAATGCCGCACGGCATTCAGCATAGCCAAGTTCAAACAAAACGTGCAAAGAGAGTAAAAAGAAGCGAAAAGTAAATCGAGAAAAACTAATCTATTCTACCAAACATTCAACACATAAAGAATCGTAACACGTCGTTCATGAGACTAACCGGTTATGACGTGCAGAACACTACAGAAAAACTAGAAAACCAGATTCCAGGACAAGCTTTAATCAACTGAGCGATGAACTTCTTGTAATAACTCAGCGATGCCAAAGTTTACACCTTGACTCTCAGCTAGCAGAGAGAAACAATAACATAGGAAGACAACCAGAAAGTAGTAATCACAAGAAAGTATTATAATAATAGTGAATAGCAGTGAATGAAAGTCTCTCCCACAGCCACCATAACAATGGGTATTTATAGTTAGCGAATTACTGAGGTTCTAATTTTAACAAGGTAAGACATTAATAATAACAAACACAACAAAAAGAAAAATCTGATTCAGCAAATAATAAAGTGCAAGTTAAATTAGAGCAAGACTTCATGTTAGAAAAAGAAAGTTTTGAGAAGAAGAGTACAATATCGAGGTCTTGGAAAATCAAATTTAATACACGGGAGAGGACGAATCAGTGTAAAATAATAATAAAAATAATAACAGAGAAATTTCATAAACTTTACCTACTTTGTGACATCTCGAACTTGGACGGATTCTTCAAAGAAATTCCTATCCCGATCTTCGCAATTTCACTTCAAAATCTGTTTTTGAGAGTGGAAAAAAAAGGAAGGAAACATTCTGATTTGTGATCAGGATGAGATTATGCTATAAAATGTGGTACGATGTGGATAGAAGAATTAAGGAAAGAGAATAAAATAGAAAATGAAAAGAAAGATAGGAATTAAATAAGGAAAGTCGGTCAAAGAATTGAAAGAGGAAAAGGTATATTAGCTGGTGGCCGGAAAGAATTTGACGAGGAGGAAGATTGGGAAATTTTGGGCCAATCTCAGAATAGGAACTAGTTAGTTAATTTGTTGCGATTTAGTAAACTTTATCAATTAAATTTCAAGTTATACATTTTACTATTAATATTTCAATTAGATACTTCTAACACTTAGTTCTAGAGATACTTGGTTTTTGTTTAATCCATGGTTAGGATTTGGACATACATTTGATTGAAATTTGAAAAAAGAATTTTTAAAGTTATATTAAAAAATAATTTTTAAAAGTTGAAGTTGTATTTGAACGTGCATTTTATTTGGAGAAAAGTTAAAGTTTTATGAGTGGAAGAAATATTTTCACCCAAAAACTATCCTAAACTAACTTTTGGAAACTTGAAAATTTAATTTTTCAATTTTTTTTCAAAGCATGATAATAATATTTAATAAACAAACAATATTTTCAAAGGTAGTCAAATTTTAATGGTGAAACGGGAGTTATATATATGATATGTTTTAAAACATAAATAAGAAGTATTTTTTGACTAATTTACTCTCATCTTTCTTCAATAAATGTGTAGCTACTATGTTTACTTCTAAAAACAACTAATATTAAAGGCATAATACATAGTTTATCCATCAAACTTGTACCGAAATCTCTCTTACATACCTATTTTTCACGAAAAATCTTTTATATACCCAACCTATCAAAAGTGTATCTAAGACATACATGTTTGGTGTTTCGCCACTTTTTTCCGGCTAGTGAAGGCACACACCAATAATAACGTAACACGTGTTATTGACTTTTAGAAAAAAAGAAAATATTTGAATTTACAATTATAACTTCTTCATCTTTCCCAAGTTGTACAACCCTGGATGCTCCCCTCCCAAGTGAGTACTTCTGCACCAATATCAACGCCATGAAATCTTTATTTTTAGTTTCAATTTTTAAAATATTACGAGAACATTGAATTTCTATCATCATTACCAATTAAATATTTTCCTAAAGTTCCTCGTTTTATATCATCCCTCTTTCAATTTGGCCTAACTGATAATATAGTTGAGTACCAAAATTACTTACACCAACAACAATAATACCATAAAAGAACCAAAAAATTCCAACCCATCAATGGCTGAAATGGAAGAAACTCCACAGACCCAGTTAGAACCCAGAATTCTCACGACATGCATACGAAAAACTCCATGGATTTTTCCTTCAGATTTGGTCACCCACGAAGCGCACCCGTGACGCCGCCATTCAGCGATTTCCTATGTTGAATGTGAAACACTGATTTTCTTTTAATCCACCTTCAAATCTTGGCAAAAATATTTGATGGCATGGTGGTAAAAGAAGGTGATGGTGCAATAATTGGTAGAAGATGGAAAAGACTCGGTAGAATTTTTTCTAAAAATGAAAGAAAATGATTTAGAAAAATGAAAAAACGAAAAGGCTGGACAATTGGCGTCAAAATGAGCCTTTAGACACAAAATTTTAGTTGTCCACTCACCTCTCGTGTGTGTAAAACACGCGAGTGACACGTAATACAAAGATGTGTGTCTTAGACATACCTTTGAAAGGTTGTGTGTGTAAAAGGTTCCCCTAGAAAAAAAAGTATATAACAAGAATTTTGGTGTAAGTTCGACAGGTAAACCTTGTATTTTGCCAATATTAAACCATGTGTATGGGGCTACAAAATTGGTAGTATAAATCAATTCTTATAATAAAAAGTTAAAAAACGAACAAAAAAAATGGAAAACTGAAACCATGGCTCCCAAATCCAAGGAATCAAACTGTACATGAATCTCTTCTGTAATATTTTTCCATTGATTTTCCTTTTGTTTACCTATTTATCTATTCCTTTCCTTTTATAGTTTTTCCCCTTCCTTAGTCCCTACCAGTTCATTTTTCAGCAAAAGAATATCAAGTTTCCCTTTTCTTTCTTCTTCTCTAACATCGCAATAATAAATGTAGGAAATCAAAAGACTCAAAATATAATAATAAAGGAGATAGTTTAAGAAACTCATGCCATGATGAAGGTATGTAACCTAAGATACTCGAAAAGTAGTGGACAAATTTTTTAAAAACTTCTGCCATAAAGTCAATAAACACTTTTAGTCAAATTTAAATGGCTTTTCAAATATTTTGATTCCCTCTCAAGAAATTTTCCTCAAAAAAGAATTATGTTCGACATCGGATTATTGAATTAGTCATATGTAAATTAAATCACATAACCTCATAGACTGTTAGCTTCAGAAAATCTCCATATATAGCATAAAAAATATGCCGCCTCTCCCATCTGCAAAAGAAAACATAAACAAAGAGGAATTCAAGACTCATACAACCATAAAAATGTAAGTGAAAAGAATGTCGAGACATTCCTTTCTAACCGGAGGAAAAAGATAATTTAACAGAAGAAGTAATTAAGGGGAAATGGAAAATTGAGAAAGCAGAGATAATTAATATTGCTGGTCCCAGTAATTGAAAATGTCTCAAAACCAATCTAATACTCGAAAGGTTTTGGAAGCCTGCATTTACGTGAGCAAGAATGCAACATATTGTTTAAAAATGAAACGTTTCTTTATACTGTTTTCCAAAAGAACAGTTACTTATTTTGTAACTGATACTTTATGTGAGGATGTTAAATGGGATAATGAAATTGTGAGAAGGAGGTAACTGAAAATTAAACTGAAAGAGAGAATTAAAAGTGATAAAAGGAAATTAAGGGTAAATTGGCAAAATTTGAGAAATTAGATAAAAAGGAGGGAGAATGCCAAAAAAAATGAGATAAAAGAAAAATAGATTTGCTGGCTTTAGAGGTATGCCACATCATCTCTACTAAGCCCTCCTTTATATTAATATATAGATTAGCGACAGGGGCATATGCAAATATACCCATTTTTTAGATCACCATTGAATTTATATTTGTATTACACAAAACTTATAAAAGCGTATCCGTAGTTCATACTCTTCAATAAAACTTCAGAAATCAAATCTAAAGTTCTCGTATCTTTCAAATACAACTTCAAAAATCCAAATCATAAGTAGTTCTAGCTCTTCAAAGCATCGTCAGATTCGAATCTGAAATTATTCTATATTTCAGTTGTAACTTAAGAAATTCGAATCTTAAGTGGTTTAATATTTTTATTTAACTTCATACTCAAATTCTGAAATTTTAAGTAGTTCGATTTTTCAATACAACTTCAGATTCAAAATCTGAAATTTTGAAACAAAAACTTGTTCGTCGAATTTCAACAATTCAACACACGATTCAATACCAAAATCTACTCCAAATGAGCTCCAATTTGAAACATAACTTTCATATATCACAAATAACAAATTCAATCATCAAATTGGTAAAACAACAATAAATTTAACAAACTTATTTTGTAATTAAGAAGAAGAAAAATCCTAAACACAAAGAAGAAGAAGGCAACATCGAAGAAGAAAGAAATATATAC